TCCGGCGGCTCGAGCAAAAGTGAGCTCCGTCCCGACTAGCGGCCGCTCTGTGACGCAAGTGACAATTCCGTTCGCCAGAGGGCGCGCGTGTCGTATTGAAAATCATTTAAAAACGTCTGAATTACGAATTGTCACTTGTTTCTTACAATCATAATTACTTTAAAAACAATCAAGTTAATTATGGTAAACTAATAAACCAAGTTTTAACTCTTTTAATAATCAAATTAATAAACAGTCGATCAATCGATTTGAATCAATAAGAACGTTTCAAATAAAACGATAAAGCGTTATTTCTCAAACTGAAATGAACTAATTATTTAAAAACTATGAAAATTATACCAAGAATAATAATCTTGAATAAAACTTAAACAATTTTGTCTTATAATTTTACGTTACGGTTATGTGATTTTTATAAAGATATCTCGATGCGCCGATATACTTTTTTTTTTGTAAATACATACATATTATACATAGAAAACACCCGGACCCGTCACAGAAATTAAAATTTATCATTTCAATTTCTGCCCGGCCGGGAATCGAGGAGTAACCGTAATGAACGCTATACGCCTCAATTGTACTTCTGCATTGCCGTGTATTATCAGTGTTTGTTGCATGAACAAGCAATTGATATTGGTCCGTAGACATGTAGCTCGGGCAGAGTTAAACACCGCTAGCCATGGTTTATGCTACTTATAGGAAAAAATTGCGAACATCAGGCCTCCGCAGCTCGTCTAAAAGCGTGAGCAGTATATGCCAAAATCCTCCATTTGCCTCGCTAAATTGGCGAGTCAGGAGTCATATCCCTAATTTGAAAACTATAGGACCTGTGATGGTGGTGATGAACGACGATGACGATAGAAATATTATGAATGAAGCATAAAACGCGTCTAAGATGGTTCAATTGAGTCATATTTTTGTGTCCGAACTGAGACCACACGAAATTATTCATCTTAAGGATTTATTAGTGGTCATAGTGTAAAAACATAAATTAAATAAATAAGTAGGTACCTACATAGTCACTAATTCGATTTCAAATCGATACTATCATAAAATATGCTTACTGTCGTTATAAACATTGAATATTGACACTAGGAAATTGCTTTCCGTTAGTAAATTGATTTCAAAACCGAATCAGTTCCATTCACAGGAGTACCATTTATAGTTATAGAAAAATATTTTCAAGGTTAATATTTTAAAAGGGTATTTAACTCTAATCTTAACCTAAGATTATATTTCTCGCGTAAAAACTTTGACTGGGTTGTACCATCATACTTTAGCTTTAACAAACGAAAAAGTCTGTCAAACTCCATACAAAAACACCCGTTATGGTTAAAATCATAAAATGTAACGCAGCCTTTAATGGATATTTGGTAAACTGTTACTAATTGTCAGACCTAGTATCCAATGCTGTGACCGGCCAACGCCTTCGGATAACGTGTGATACGGCTCTTAACTAGGCCCTCGTAAAGCATCCGCGACAATAATGGTGTGCAAACATATACGTTAACGGTACCGGAATAGTAAAAAGTAAGCTGGACAAATACGTCGGAATGGGTTTGCTTAACGGGCTGCCCGGCCGACCGGCGTCGGGGATGCGGGTAGGGTTCGCACTTCGCTTTTACACTGAAATGAAGCTAGAAACTCGGTTCGAACTCAAAAATAGGTCTCAAGACTGTAACTGTTTGAATTACTACTCTAAGGCTGAGTTGCACCACTGTATTTTAACCGTAACATTAACAATAATTTCGGTGCTTTCGTATGGAGTTTGACAGATTTTTGACGTTTATCAAATCAAAGTAAGATGGTGCAACTCAGCCTAAATCTCATTTTACATTTGCTTAAATCAAAGCCTGTGATGTTAAGAAGATGTAAATCGGCCGTAAACTTGCTTGAATTTAGATTTATGAACGTCGGTACAAAAGAACCTGAGTTTCAATAAGGCACTTTCTGAAAGTTCACCGCAAACTAGGTTCATCGATCTTTCAGAAAGTGTTAATCCGAATTCGAATTCTAATGATGCAAGAATACATTTTGTAGATCAAAATTACATTTCGTAGTTAAAAATACTCGCAGTATAGCTGCATAGAGACTGTATGACTCGTAAACCACACGTAGTAATGCAGTTTAGCACTGACATTTTTGCCACCCCTAACGGGCCGGGTGTTACAGAAACACAGTTGTTAAGTGCTCGTAATTGTTGATTCATATTTAAGATTACATTCTTTTCATGTCATGGAGTTTTGCAACGACTTTTTGAGCATTACACTTGGGCTTAAAAATGCAATAAAAGTTTTTCACACTTTAAGCATAACTAAGTTACAAATAAAATAACTTCATATATTTTTGAAACGATATAACCAATTGTATTTCAAGCCCAACAGTATGACATTTTGCAGGTTCAAAATAAGTCATTTTGCTGGAAAGTCATATGCCTTCCATACAATATCAGCACTTTCAATGTGTATACTCTCTTATCGTGTTCAAAATAGACACAATGAAAGCCCACACGTGATAAATCCATAAACTACGGGTAAACTCTACCTACCACGCCGGTTACGAGCAGTTACAAAATAACTGTCCGTATCACCGAGATCCAATAAGCACTATGTCATCGTGTGGGGGCTGTAAGCTATAAAGCTTGGGAGATCAAAATTTGAGCACTAAAATGCTGATAATGGAGCTTGTGCAATAGTTTGGTTTACTTCTATTATATCTAATTGAATGCATTAAGTTTACGATCTCCTAGCCTGGTTTTTTGCGTTCTGTATCCAGAGGTCGCTATAATATTTTATGTATTGGTATCGGGATAGTATTTTCTATGCTTATTTAAAAAAACTTCACTTAGTTTGAGACTAAATGGCGCTCCTGGGACATTTAATTATGTTCGTGATCTTTAGCTATCAACTCCTATTTGCTTTTGATTCCTTTTGTTGGGGTCCAATGATAGGTAATCTTTCCGCTGGGTGACCTTCACTGGTTGAGTTTTATATGCGTATACCTGTAGATCCTGGCTACACAATAGTTTCAGCAATGTAAAAGAGGTGGAAATACACAATATCCCATTTGTCTATCCTTTATTAATTTTACTACACGCTGCCAAAGAAAGAACAATATGCAACATTTTAGCGGCACAACCTTTAAAGACAGAGCCATACGTTGCAACGCTAAACGTGCGTGTACGCACCACTTTTACAGCTTTCCTGTTCATTTTCTTTAATGGAATATTTGTTTATGTATTTCCGTTTGAGGAATGTTTGTTGTTTACATTGTTTAAGCGATTGTGGTTTTAAATTGTTTAATTTTCACTTGGCCCGTCAGCCTAATGGAATGGGCCGGTCGTGCCGACCGCAAACACACCATATTGTTTTTTAACCTGTTTACTGTTTGCCAATCTAAATGGTGCTTGAAAACTAGTCTGAAAGTTGTAGTTATGCTGGATTAGTGCATTCCGTATGAGAAACTTGAAAAGTTTGCTTATTTCAAGATTTTTTCTTATGCGCAATTCAAAAGAGCACCTGTCGGCAGCTTAGCTTAACTATAGCTACTTAACTATGATTTGTTTCTATGCACTATATTTCGAGTGTCAAATAAGAGTACAATATCTCATTGTGCAAAAGCTTGTCTAATGAGCATTATACAATAAGTTGTCGAGAAATTGATCGCTACCAAAGATAAGACTGTCTGTCTAATTGCACCTCTAAATTATTTATTTGCAACTTGTAATGTTTTTTCTTTGCAATAAGCGTACTACGGTCTAGCGCAGTCTTTTCCAAAATGGGCGATAACGCCCCCTTGTGGGCGCTGCAGGCTTAAAGGGGGGCGGTAAGAGACCCAGAAAAAAAATCGGGACGTGTAGAGGCTTGGGAGGCGTCATCTTCTAGGAGGACTCTTAGACATCGACTGAGCTCGACTCTTGACTACAAAAATAGGGGGCGCTAAAAAATAATTTATTCTCAAAGTGGGCAGTAGACTAAATAAGTTTGGGAACCACTGGTCTAGCGTTTACGGGAGGGGTGACATTGACACATTATGACGTGACAGAGCATACCAATCTGAAAGAAACGTGACGTGATGACGTTTAACGTCTTAAAAACCATGTCGCTCTCATACGTCAGCTCTAGAGCCATCTATACTAATATTATAAATGCGAAAGTAACTCTGTCTGTCTGTCACGCTTTCACGACTAATCCCTTGAACCGATTTTGATGAAATTTGGCATAGAGATAGTTTGAGTCCCGGGAAAGGATATAGGATTTAGTTTTAATTAAACTTTTAGTTTTTATCCCGGTTTTTGAAACAGAGACGCGCGCGATAAGGTTTTTCTGTGACAGACAAAATTCCACGCGGGCGAAGCCGCTGGCGGAAACCAGCTTTCCTTTAAATAAGTCATGAACCTTTACCCACAGTTGTTCAGTCGTGCAACAAAAAATATAATGTATTGTAAACCATTGTTAACATCTCATTTGGTGCTGATTGGTTGCTGAGCTGTTAACACTGCATTTAACAAGCTATTGTTTTTGTCTGTCAGTTGCAATCAGGAGTAAATGCATTAGTTAGAGTATGTTTATCCGTTATCCACAACTAATTAAGCTCGTTAATGGGCTAGTTTAATTTTTTCCTACTGTCATAAATATGACGCGGTTCTTTACGTGGAAACTAAACTTGAAGCCTGATGGTGCGACGAGTAATAATGGCTTATCTGGTCCATTCAGAAAGAAAATCTTTGTTTTATTTACCCAAGAATACCTACTTGTGTCCCGATCCAAGGCCTTTGTAGTTTTAATAAAAATGTTGAATAATGTCAGTCTATTCCTTTGTGGGCAAATAATAAAAGTAAATGTGACTATTCTGGAGTTTGGAAAGTGCAAAAACAAAATAATGAAAAATAAAAACACTAGCATAAACCAAGAGTACTCTCTTATATGAAGACTGTAGACCTTGTTTGTTCCCTATTGTTTAGATGATAGTTGCTTAATTTCGCATCGCTCTTTTGTTCACAGGAGAGTTCGATATGCGGGTGAAGTCGTGTGCAGCCTCCGATGGCTCCGGCCACCTCATACAGTTATCGGACGAGTATGGCTGCGTTCTTCGACCTAAGATGATATCAAGGTAAACCCTAGTAACTAAACTAAATATAATGTAAAATACGTAAAAGAAATTGTGAAAAAGTCACCTTCTATAATGGAGCTTGCTTACGCGGTGTAATCCGCCAGTTCTAAACAGGCGTTGTACAGTTCTAGAGGAATTAATCATTGCTTAGGTAAAAAAACACAAAAAGCTCGCTGTTGTCCCGTGAAGCGCTCCATAGGACTAAAAATTCATGAATTTTTGCAGTTTCCCATCACGAACGCGTCCCTACCTTGAACCGCTGTCGAGAAATCAAGTGTTGCTATTTGCAAACATTTTTGGTCCACCCTCTACATGGAAGAGAACAACTCCTAATATGCAGTTGCATACTTTTTTTTATATCACGTATAATTCTAATTGCTTTTTCCACGTGATTCCAGGTTCCTCAAAGCGAAAGCAGCGGACGAGCGAGCCACCGTCATCACTTACGCCTTCTTCCACGCGTTCAAGTTTCCCGACGCTCTTAGTGTGCACATCAGATGCAAAGTGGAAATATGCAGACACGGCTGCTTGGACCATTGCCAGCTGGCAGGAGTTGCCAACCAAAGGCATGGGGCGCTGGACAGGAAAGATGACAGGACGCATCAAGACCACAATGAGATCAAGTGAGTGAATGCGCAACTTATTTACTTATTTGAACAGGAACAAAGGCTGTTATCGATTGATAGGGACATCAGATGCAAAGTGGAAATATGCAGACACGGCTGCTTGGACCATTGTCAGCTGGCAGGAGTTGCCAACCAAAGACACGGGGCGCTGGACAGGAAAGATGACAGGACGCATCAAGACCACAATGAAATCAAGTAAGTGGACGAATATGAATGTTATTTTGATAGGGACATCAGCTGCAAAGTGGATATCTGCAGACACGGTTGCCTGGACCATTGCCAGCTGGCAGGAGTTGCCAACCAAAGACACGGGGCGCTGGACAGGAAAGATGACAGGACGCATCAAGACCACAATGAGATCAAGTGAGTGAATGCGCAACTTATTTACTTATTTGAACAGGAACAAAGGCTGTTATAGATTGATAGGGACATCAGATGCAAAGTGGAGATCTGCAGACACGGTTGCATGGACCACTGCTAGCTTGCAGGAGTTGCCAACTACAGGCATGGTGCGCTGGACAGGAAAGATGATAGGACGCATCAGGACCACAATGAGATCAAGTAAGTAGACGAATATGAACAGGGACAAAGGCGGTTATTAAATGATAGGGACATCAAATGCAAAGTGGAACTGCAGTCACGTCTGCTTGGACCACTGCCAAATTACAGGAGTTGCATTAAGACCACAAAGAGATCAAGTAGGTAAGTGGACGAATTTGGATACTTTTTTGACAGGACCAAGGTTGTTATCAGTAAATGGGTGGCGTGGAATACTATAACCTTAAGACACTGCCAGTTACCGACATTTATGATTCTAGGTAAAAAGTATAAACTGAGGAGGAATTATTATTATTATTTGCACTGCAAATAATTGGTGACTCTCTCTCATGCATTTAACATATTATTATGACTTATCGAGACTTTAGTAGGTATTACTAACCTTAGCTATACCGAATGATAAGAACTCATAATATTAAAATCAAATCCTTTATGACAGAAATTAAGTACTAGCAGGCCTGTTCATCTCCGCGAGTTTACATCGAAAACAAAACACGCACGATGGCCCACCTACAGGATACTATTCGACAAGGCCTCACATACGAGCGAACATTGACTCACGCACGCGTATTCTTGTGTAATATGATGGAAGAAAACAAACAAAATGGTGTACTAAATACTGTGCAGTATTTAACTGCCTAAATAATAATAAAAATACAGAATGTACTTTTTTAAGTTGCCTCAAGAGATTGAGAGGTAAATAAGTAGTTAATATTATTCATGATAATTCATGCTAAATCATGTATTTCCTCCGCCATTTTCCGCAGTTTGGCACCTCACGTCACATCATTTTACCGAAGTCAGCCCTATAGCTTCGGCGCAGTGCCGATCACTGACGTTTGTCAACAAAATGGTGCTTGACTCTTGAGACAGGCTAAATTACACCATATTGTTAATGACATTGAGCATACATTTTTTTAAATACCTTCGCGAAGTAAAACTTCTGTACGTAGTACTTATTATTATTCTGTGGTACTAGCACCAAATAAGTGAGTGCAGCCTTTTGTTATCAACATACATAGGTATTTATCAATCTGTATTTCACTATTTCAGCGACTCGTCAGCCGAAGACGCCGACTTCAACTTCGCAGAAGAGCCTCAACGACTGCCATTAGAAGAGGCGTTCGGCGACGAAGTGTCGGGAGACGCGGTGCCGGCGCCCGCGCCGCTTCCACAAAGGGCACCGGCGCCGGTCATTGAGCCGGAGAGTGATCATATGTCCGCTGTGCAGGAGCTGGTAGAGGCTCTGGCCAGGCCTTTCACTGTAAGTCACTAAGTATCTTAGTCTAGAAGCATATGGTTTAGAAGTATAGGGTCTAGAAGACGAAGTGTCAGGAGACGCGGTGCCGGCGCCCGCGCCGCTTCCACAAAGGGCACCGGCGCCGGTCATTGAGCCGGAGAGTGATCATATGTCCGCTGTGCAGGAGCTGGTAGAGGCTCTGGCCAGGCCTTTCACTGTAAGTCACTAAGTATCTTAGTCTAGAAGCATATGGTTTAGAAGTATAGGGTCTAGAAGACGAAGTGTCAGGAGACGCGGTGCCGGCGCCCGCGCCGCTTCCACAAAGGGCGCCGGCGCCGGTCATTGAGCCGGAGAGCGACCACATGTCCGCCGTGCAGGAGCTGGTCGAAGCTCTGGCCAGGCCTTTCACTGTAAGTCCCTTGGTTTATACCATTTAAGTGTAGAAATATAGGGTCTAGGAAGCGAAGTGTCAGGAGACGCGGTGTCAAAGGGCGCCGGCGCCGGTCATAGAGCCGGAGAGCGACCACATGTCCGCTGTGCAGGAGCTGGTTGAAGCTCTGGCCAGGCCTTTCACTGTGAGTCACTTGCTTTATAGCACAGGCCTTTTACAGTGAGTTACTTTTATTATAGTGTCTTAGTGTAGAAGTATAGGGTCTAGAAGACGAAGAGTCAGGAGACGCGGTGCCGACGCCAGCGCCGCTTCCTCAAAGGGCGCCGACGCCGGTCATAGAGCCGGAGAGCGACCACATGTCTGCTGTGCAGGAGCTTGTAGAGGCTCTGGCCAGGCCTTTCACTGTAAGTCATTATAAAGTGTTTTAGTCTAGAAGTATAGGGTCTAGAAGGTGAAGTGTCAGGAGACGCGGTGCCGGCGCCCGCGTCGCTTCCACAAAGGGCACCGGCGCCGGTCATTGAGCCGGAGAGTGATCATATGTCCGCTGTGCAGGAGCTGGTGGAAGCTCTGGCCAGACCTTTCACTGTAAGTCCCTTGGTTTATACCATTTAAGTGTAGAAATATAGGGTCTAGGAAGCGAAGTGTCAGGAGACGCGGTGTCAAAGGGCGCTGGCGCCGATCATAGAGCCGGAGAGCGACCATATGTGCGCTGTACAGGAGCTGGTCGAAGCTCTGGCCAGGCCTTTCACTGTAAGTCACTATAGTATCTTAGTTTAGAAGTATAGGGTCTGCTAGAAGGCGAAGTGTTAGGAAACGCGGTATCAAAGGGCACCGGCGCCGGTCATAGAGCCGGAGAGCGACCACATGTCTGCTGTGCAGGAGCTGGTTGAAGCTCTGGCCAGGCCTTTCACTGTAAGTCACTATAGTATCTTAGTCTAGAAGCATAAGGTCTAGCTAGAAGACCAAGTGTCAGGAGATGCGAAACCGGCGCCAGCGCCGCTTCGACAAAGGGCGCCGGAACCGGTCATAAAGCCGGAGAGCAACCACATGTCCGCCGTGCAAGAGCTGGTAGAGGCTCTGGCCAGGCCTTTCACTGTGAATCACTTCGTATTATAACGTCTTAGTCTAGAAGTATAGGGTCTAGGAAGCGAAGTGTCAGGAGACGCGGTGTCAAAGGGCGCTGGCGCCGGTCATAGAGCCGGAGAGCGACCACATGTCCGCTGTGCAGGAGCCTGTAGAAGCTCTGGCCAGGCCTTTCACTGTAAGTCACTATAATATCTTAGTCTAGAAGCATAAGGTCTAGCTAGAAGACCAAGTGTCAGGAGATGCGATACCGGCGCCAGCGCCGCTTCGACAAAGGGCACCGGCGCCGATCATTGAGCCGGAGAGTGATCATATGTCCGCTGTGCAGGAGCTGGTTGAAGCTCTGGCCAGGCCTTTTACTGTGAGTTACTTTTATTATAGTGTCTTAGTCTAGAAGTATAGGGTCTACAAGGCGAAGTTTCAGGAGATGCGGTGTCAAAGGGCGCCGGCGCCGGTGTTAAAGCCGGAGAGCGACCACATGTCTGCTGTGCAGGAGCTGGTCGAAGCTCTGGCCAGGCCTTTCACTGTGAGTCACGTCGTATTATAACGTCTTAGTCTAGAAGTATAGGTTCTAGAAGGCGAATTGTCAGGAGACGCGGAAAAAGTGTCAGCGTCGGTCAAAGAGCCATAGAGCAACCACATGTCCGCCGTGCAGGAGCTGGTCGAAGCTCTGGCCAGGCCTTTCACTGTAAGTCCCTTACTTTATAGCATTTTAGTGTAGAAGTATAGGGTCTGCTAGAATGTGAAGAGTCAGGAGACGCGGAAAGAGTGTCGGCACCGGTCATAGAGCCGGAGAGCGACCACATGTTCGCTGTGCAGGAGCTGGTCGAAGCTCTGGCCAGGCCTTTCACTGTAAGTCATTATAAAGTGTTTTAGTCTAGAAGTATAGGGTCTAGAAGGTGAAGTGTCAGGAGATGCGATACCGGCGCCCGCGCCGCTTCCTCAAAGGGCGCCGGCGCCGGTCATAGAGCCGGAGAGTGACCACATGTCTGCCGTCCAGGAGCTGGTCGAAGCTCTGGCCAGGCCTTTCACTATGAGTGACTTAGTATAAAGTATCTTAGTCTTGAAGTAAATGGTCTGCTACAAGGCGAGGTGTCAGGAGATATGGTGCCAAATGGCACCGGCGCCCGTCATTGAGCCGGAGACATGTCATGAGTTGAAGCTCTGGCCTGGCCCTTCACTGTAAGTCACTTAGTATGAAACATCTTAGTCTAGAAGTAAAATGTCTAGAAGGCGAAGTGTCAGGTGACGCGGTGCCAAATGGCGCCGGCGCCCATCATAGAGCGGGAGAGCGACCATATGTCCGCTGTTCAGGAGTTAGTTGAAGCTCTGGCCAGGTCTGTCACCGTAAGTCACTTAGTATTAGAGAATCTTAGTCTCGAAGTAAGCGAGAAGCTGAATGCTGTTCTTGAAGGTATCGTCTACAATGCAATGCATAGCTTCGAATAACTTACCATTTAATAATAATCATGATCGTCTTGGTTCAATCCAAAAGAATTTGACTGTGTCTCACAAACCTTTTATCTCTTTCCAGGACCGCCCATCAGATCTCACCGACCGCGAGCGTTTCCCGCACGGTCCCCGCAACCTCGGTTCCGACGTTAAAATCGTTCCCACCGGTGACACAGTAGTCCCGGCCAAACCCCCAGGCCCAGCTGTAGCCGGTCCCAGGTCTTTGAGAAAGAGACGAACGGTCAGGGAGGGCAGGTCAGCAGATGTGGGCGTGTCCGGGATATATGAAGTCGTGTCGGAGGCGGATCTGGCGTTTGGGCCGTCGAGGGAACCGGTGACGGTGTTTAGCGGACGGATTCGGGAAGAAGTGAGTATTGTAGTTATTCGAGTGGTAGTGTAGATATAAACGCATGATAGATAACAACTTAGTGATTTTTGTTTTTTAAGTCAAGTGGCAAAACGTGATAGTTGTAATATCGAAAGACGGTCCAAAGGCCGTTTTTTGTATGGAGTTACATCGCTTCGTGAACGGATTCGATTTTCGATTCGATTCGATTTAATAGTGTCACTTGTATAAATTGCTGACAGTTTTTTTTTAGTTTTCGGAAAAATTGGTATTCGTCAAGAGTATAATAAGGTTTCTTTCTTTCAAGTGAGCTTGCTTAAATCGCTTATGTTTGTCTCTCTCGCTCATACAGCTATGAGCGAGAGAGACAAACATAAGCGACTGAAGCGATCTCTCTCGAAATGAATGGTATAAAAGAGTCTCGCATGGACTAACTGTTGCTTGTGTAATAAGTCGCTGTTATCGTATTAAGAATTTATAAACTCACTTGTATTCCAATTCGATTTACTAACAAATTAGTTAATTCGAAACCAACAAAGTCTCGTTTGACATTGATTTACTTAACTCAAAACTTACTGCGTTTCCCCGTTGCCAATATTAAAATTTTTATTTTATTTAATTTTATTTTATTGTTAGGAAAACAAACAGCGTTCTCTAACACACAGAGTTACCAATTAAACTTCACATTTGCCAAAAGAGTTTTCACAAATAATTCTTACATAGTTGTAATTCTTGTCATTCTAGGTGGTATACGGCATCTGCATGGGCGCCGTCAGTTTCGGCGCGCTATTCGCCTCCGCCGCCGGCGCGGCAGCGGGAGCGGCGCTAGCGGCCGCGGTCTTACTGCAGCGGCTGCGCTCGCGCCTCGCTTGTGCTCCACCCGCTCCACCAGCACCCGCTGCCCATTCATTAGCGGCCTGGATGGCTCTGAGGCTACTAGGAGAGCCGGCGCCACACCCTCATCATTCTAGGGATGGCTGAAGAAAGAGGAGATCGGTCGAGGTCACGCATAAAAAAACTTTTTTCCAATTTGAAAATTACCCTCAACATTATCATTGTGACATTTCTAATATCAAATCAGTGACGTGCCGTCAAAAATTGCAATTTCATGTAGTTAGCGTAAGGTCATTGCGTTAAAACAATACAATTAGTGGTTCAGTGCTACAGCGGCTACGCTCGCGCCTCGCTTGTGCGCCACCCGCTCCACCAGCACCAGCCGCCCATTCATTAGCGGCCTGGATGGCTTTGAGGCTACTAGGAGAGCCGGCGCCACACCCTCATCATTCTAGGGATGGTTGAGACAATATTTATTGATTGAGGTCGTCACGCACACATTGAAATGAAATTAGATCCTTTTTTGCGAATTTAAAAATTACCTTAGGACATGTCAAATTAGTAACGTGACGTCACAATATTACTATTCCGTGTAATATAAGTCAGCTACAAATAAGCGTGTGCTAATTGCGTTAAAACAATACAAATAAGCAACGCCGTGCTACTGCAGCGGCTGCGCTCGCGCCTCGCTTGTGCGCCACCCGCTCCACCAGCACCCGCCGCCCATTCATTAGCCGCCTGGATGGCTTTGAGGTTACTAGGGGAGCCGGCGCCACACCCTCATCATTCTAGGGATGGCTGAAGAGGATTGGATCGGTCGAGGTCACGCATTAAAAAACTTTTTTCCAATTTGAAAATTACCCTCAACATTATCATTGTGACATTTCTAATATCAAATCAGCGACGTGACCTCAAAAATTGCAATCTAATGTAGTTAGCGTGAGGTCATTGCGTTAAAATAATACAATAAGCAGTGCAGTGCTACAGCGGCTACGCTCGCGCCTCGCTTGTGCGCCACCCGCTCCACCAGCACCCGCTGCCCATTCATTAGCGGCCTGGATGGCTTTGAGGCTACTAGGGGAGCCGGCGCCACACCCTCATCACTCTAGGGATGGTTGAGAAAGAGAAGATCGATCGAGGTCACGCATAAAAAAACTTTTTTCCAATTTGAAAATGACCCTCTGGATTATTATTGTAACATTTCTAATGTCAAATCAGTGACGTGACGTCAAAAATTGCAATCTAATGTAGTTAGCGTGAGGTCATTGCGTTAAAACAATACAATAAGCAACGCCGTGCTACAGCGGCTGCGCTCGCGCCTCACTTGTGCTGCACCCGCTCCACCAGCACCCGCCGCCCATTCATTAGCCGCCTGGATGGCTCTGAGGTTATTAGGGGAGCCGGCGCCACATCCTCATCACTCAAGGGATGGCTGAAGAGGATTGGTTCGATCGAGGTCACGCACACACTAAAATATTTTTTGAAAATTTGAAAATTACCTTTAAGATTTATTATTGTGACATTTCTAATATCAAATCGGTGACGTGTCCTCAAAATTGCAATCTAATGTAGTTAGCGTGAGGTCATTGCGTTAAAATAATACAATAAGCAGTGCAGTGCTACAGCGGCTACGCTCGCGCCTCGCTTGTGCTCCACCCGCTCCACCAGCACCCGCTGCCCATTCATTAGCGGCCTGGATGGCTTTGAGGTTACTAGGGGAGCCGGCGCCACACCCTCATCACTCTAAGGATGGCTGAAGAAGAGTGGATCGGTCGAGGTCACGCATACACTAAAATATTTTTTAAAAATTTGAAAATTACCCTCAACATTATCATTGTGACATTTCTAATATCAAATCAGCGACGTGACGTTAAAAATTGCAATCTAATGTAGTTAGCGTGAGGTCATTGCGTTAAAACAATACAATAAGCGGCGCAAAGCTACAGTGGCTGCGCTCGCGCCTCGCTTGTGCGCCACCCGCTCCACCAGCACCCGCCGCCCATTCATTAGCGGCCTGGATGGCTTTGAGGTTACTAGGGGAGCCGGCGCCACACCCTCATCATTCTAGGGATGGCTGAGACAATATTTATTGATCGGGGTCACGCACACATTGAAATGAAATTAGATCTTTTTTTTGCGAATTTGAAAATTACGTTAGGACATGTCAAATTAGTAACGTGACGTCACAATATTACTATTCCGTGTAATATAAGTCAACTACAAATAAGCGTGTGCTAATTGCGTTAAAACAATACAATAAGCAACGCCGTGCTACTGCAGCGGCTGCGCTCGCGCCTCGCTTGTGCGCCACCCGCTCCACCAGTACCCGCCGCCCATTCATTAGCCGCCTGGATGGCTTTGAGGTTATTAGGAGAGCCGGCGCCACACCCTCATCATTCTAGGGATGGCTGAAGAGGATTGGATCGGTCGAGGTCACGCATTAAAAAACTTTTTTCCAATTTGAAAATTACCCTCAACATTATCATTGTGACATTTCTAATATAAAATCAGTGACGTGCCGTCAAAATTTGCAATCTAATGTAGTTAGCGTGAGGTCATTGCGTTAAAACAATACAATTAGTAGTTCAGTGCTACAGCGGCTGCTCTCGCGTCTCGCTTGTGCTCCACCCGCACCCGATGCCCATTGATTAGCGGCCTGGATGGCTTTGAGGCTACTAGGGGAGCCGGCGCCACACCCTCATCACTCTAGGGATGGCTGTAGAAGAGTGGATCGGTCGAGGTCACGCACACACTAAAATATTTTTTGAAAATTACCTTTAAGATTTATTATTGTGACATTTCTAATATCAAATCAGTGACGTGACCTCAAAAATTGCAATCTAATGTAGTTAGCGTGAGGTCATTGCGTTAAAACAATACAATAAGCAATGTAGTGCTACAGCGGCTGCGCTCGCGCCTCGCTTGTGCGCCACCCGCTCCACCAGCACCCGCCGCCCATTCATTAGCGGCCTGGATGGCTTTGAGGCTACTAGGGGAGCCGGCGCCACACCCTCATCACTCTAGATTTGGCTGAAGAAGATTGGATCGATCGAGGTCACGCACACACTAAAATATTTTTTGAAAATTTGAAAATTACCCTCAACATTATCATTGTGACATTTCTAATATCAAATCAGCGACGTGACGTCAAAAATTGCAATCTCATGTAGTTAGCGTGAGGTCATTGCGTTAAAACAATACAATAAGCAGTGCAGTGCTACAGCGGCTGCGCTCGCGCCTCGCTTGCGCGCCACCCGCTCCACCAGCACCCGCCGCCCATTCATTAGCCGCCTGGATGGCTCTGAGGCTACTAGGAGAGCCGGCGCCACACCCTCATCACTCAAGGGATGGCTGAGACAATATTTATTGATCGAGGTCACGGACACATTTAAATAAAATTAGATCTATTGCGAATTTGAAAATTACCTTAGGACATGTCAAATTAGTAACGTGACGTCATAATATTACTATTCCGTGTAACATAAGTCAGCTACAAATAAGCGTGTGCTAATTGCGTTAAAACAATACAATAAGCGGTGCAGTGCTACAGCGGCTGCGCTCGCGCCTCGCTTGTGCGCCACCCGCTCCACCAGCACCCGCCGCCCATTCATTAGCGGCCTGGATGGCTTTGAGGCTACTAGGGGAGCCGGCGCCACACCCTCATCACTCTAGGGATGGCTGAAGAAGATTGGATCGATCGAGGTCACGCAAACACTAAAATATTTTTGAAAATTTAAAATTACCTTTAAGATTTATTATTGTGACATTTCTAATATCAAATCAGCGACGTGACGTCAAACATTGCAATCTAATGTAGTTAGCGTGAGGTCATTGCGTTAAAACAATACAATAAGTGGTACAGTGCTACAGCGGCTACGCTCGCGCCTCGTCTGCGCTTCCCCCGCGCCCGCTGCCCATTCATTTAGCGGCCTGGATGGCACAATAATTTTTTTTTGCCAATATAAAAATTACTTTTGGAACATTTCAAATATGAATTAGTAACGTGGCGTCACAATATTAGTATTCCGTGTAAAATTTTAGTCAGCTACGTGAGCTCACAATCACAAGCGTGTGGCACTCATTGCGTTAAAACAATACCAATTAGCGGCACAGTTCTCCATCGGCTGCCCTCACACCTCGCCTGCGCGCTATCGGGAAGTCGAACCTTGACTTCGAACTCTTCCTATGTACTTCTGATTAATTTCGTTGCGGGACCAATGACAGTTTAACTTTCCCATGGGCAAACTTGACCTTCACTGGTTGGGTTTTTATTGGCAGTCAAGCTGTAGATCCTGGCTATACAGAAATTGCAGCGATGGGAACGAGAGGTGGGAATAGTCCCGTATTCGCGCCCGCTAGCTCGATCGCTAGCCGTCTGGATGTCTTTGAGGCTACTAGGTGAGCCTGCGGCATACCCCATACTCATCATCCTCTTTCCTTCAGGACTATTAATCCTTCAAGGCCCGCGAATCAAGACACAATAGATAATCAATTGTTATGACATTAATGAATGCCGTCTGGGACTCAAGCGGTTAATAAGACAATATGAATTGATCGATGTGCTGTAATATGCTGTTGTATGTACACAGTGAGTGTGTATAGAATGTGTATTTAAAAACCTAGATCTTGTGCACGTACCTCGATCGATGGTATTTTATCTAAGACTGTTTAAAAACGTGACTTCTGTGCAAAATTTCACAAGAGTTGCGATAAATGCGATTTTGGTGAATAAATAGCTTTTAATACTCCATTCAAATACTTGATCCACATTCTTGCACTGCAGACGGTAGTTTGTGGTAGTAACCTGTAGTGCAAGAATCAGAAAAAGAATTCTAGATGATATTCAAATATTTTTTTCCTCTTTTCGTCTAAAAGACTACCATGACTCTTGGAATACTGTAATCTATGTCTATCTCAGTTAGTAAGAGTGAATAACCAACGATATTTATTTATCTTTCTGCTGTATGTATTTCTTGATGAAGATTTTATTATTTGTCAAAATCACTGTTATTGCCTAGATTGCCCTATTTTGGAACTATTTAATTAATGTAATATTTTATTGTTAGACTTATAATTTAATTTAATAGAGAAAATCCTTAGGATGTTAATAATTAACATGTATGTTGCAATAAAATAGCTCCATTTTACAATTACGTTTATACAGAGTAACGCATTTACTAAAATATTATTTAACTACCCAGTTAAACCGATGGTGCTACTTTGTGCAACGGACTAAGTCCAAAAACTTTGAAATCACTGTTGTGAATATTATAACTATTTATACATTATGTATAAGTATTGTACAGACTCCTTTATTTTTATATTACTAAAATCATTCCTTAAAACCTGGTGAACGAGAAAAACGTAGAAGTAGCTTCCTAAATGGAAATTACATTTTCACATCCTAATATAGAAATAAGAAGGGGGCAAGAATATTCAGGACAAATGTGTTTATTTTACCGTTCGTAAATATCAACATCACTTGCTGAGACGTGTTGCTGAAAAGACAGTAAATGTATGCAACTTTGTTGAATCACAAGCATATCTGTAAAGAAATTTTTCATTATTGAAAAACATTCACGTTTATTGTGGCCTTCAGTTTAATAAAATATAGAGAATTTGTCTCTTTTTGGCAGTTGGTAGTAAGCTACCGATATACATATTTTGTCATCTATGTTTTTTTCGTTCACTGTTAGGACCTAGCTTTAAGTATAAACGTCGAGTCATGCCATTAGGGTAAGTGTAGGTAATTCTCACCTTAGCGAGTTGATGGCTTGCTCAATGTGGACTTTATTTCTATCACCTTAAGAATCATTGTACTAATTACATAAATTAATGAAGAAGAATTTATTTATTCACTTTTTAAATAAAGCAATAACCCAAAAAAAGTTTTATTGAATAAAATGCTAGCAAAATAACTAAATAGCGAGACATAAATGTCGAATGGTGCTTAAAAATATGTGACTAATTTTAATCCGTCCACGATTTTGTATAATATTTTTAATTTTTAGTCTCGCTTGTGCATCTTTCTTTAATCTCAGGCACTTTACACATCCAAGCACTTTACCAACTGTCATTTTGTTTAAAAACATTGTCAGTTTATATTTTATAGCTGTAGGTAATGTGGCTTCGGTGTGTAATCTGCCTTATTTAGATCTGAAATAAAAATGTATTCTCTGAGAGATGTAATGATGTTTCAGATGTTCTGAGTAAGGAATCATACACTCGGCATCAAATGAATCGCACCTCCCGCGACAAGCACTTATCAAACGTATGCATCCCCACTTCCCACCAACATTGGTACCATTTGAAAGCCTAGTTCTAAACTTCATTTCATTAAAGGAAAGGTTTTTACCCCAAAAATGTGTCTTTACAAGGATCCAGAGTCACTTCTTCAAAAAATAGGTAGTTACGCTATAGCCATTTTTTATGACTATAAAACTGTTAAGTTGGGATTAATCGTTATCCATCTGTTAAAGAGGACACGTGAGATCTTTATTTGGTTTTATACCCATAAAAATTGGTCTAATTGATCCCAGAGGTGAGCCCAAAGTGAGGTCTATTTTCAAGTCACATTTATGGTATATCTTAATCATTTATTTAGAAATGAAATATATTTTTCTTTAAGGATATTTATTGGGCTTTCAAATAACACCAATATTGTCGGGGTACCATAATTGTGTCAGAAGAAAATCTTTAAAGTTCGCGTCGCGGAAGGTGCGGTTTATTTGATGTTGAGTGTAGATTAAAAGAGAGGCATACAAGTTTACGTAAGTAATATAACTTAGTTTTAAGACTTGGCAGCAACTTAATTTTATTGATAGTAAATAATTTAATTTAATTCATAACTACATACATGTTTTAAATGGCTGAAGATATATTTTTTATAACGGATTTTTTATATTTTTATAAATGAATACCAAAAGTTATGCTCTTAGAAGTGTAATGAATAAAATAACAGTTTAGTAAGTACACTGTTCAATATTATGATTTTCATTAATGTGTTTCTAGCTTTTGTTTCTTGAGATCAGAGTGGATTTTTTTACTGTTTTATTACAAAATATTATAAGGTTCAATATCCAACAGAATATAATGCATTAGTTTGAACCTATATTTCTTGCATTACCAGTAGAATCGAACAGCGTTTAAAAAACAATACTAATCCCTTTCAAGCCCCTCGTGGTAAGCTAAATAATATGCTTGTGTTATGAGTAGGTTCACCTCAGTCTTACATCAGTGGCAGGGTTCGAACCCGCGTTCCTTGTATTTCGATTCGACCAATCTGACGCCGTCGTTGGGCTTTTATCGCTTATCCATTAAAACCATTCTGATCTCAAGACTACTGCTTCGTACGGATGACAGCATATCAAGCCAAACACAGTGGCATCTTACGCACTCGTTATAAGTGTTATTTTGGCAACAAAACTGTGTAGGCTAACAGTGGCGTAACTATAGGATGGCAGGGCTGGCGAAATGCCACGGGCTCCCTAAATGCCATGGGCCCCCGAAATGCCACGGGCCCCCGACCTGAAGGGGCCCAGGCCCAAGGCCTTAATCGCAAGAGCCCCATGCACAGAATTTGCCACGGGCCTCGGATGGTATAGTTACGCTACTGTGGGCTAATATGCTGTTGACTGTACCTATAACTTTGTTTTATTGTCATAATGTATAATATGTTAGTCATAAGTTAATTTAACAATTCATTGTATTATACGTTAGTTGAGACACCAATGAACGTTACAGATTATTTCATTGTTAACATAGAATTTCTAAAACCACTTGCATTTATCTTGCATTTACGTACAGATGGCAGCACATTCTGCTATACACTAGCATCTTATTATAGTTAAAATAAGTGTTATTTTACAATGAAAATGTAGACTGATGTGCTGTCAACTGTACACCGTTAGGGTCCTTCCTAATTTTGCTCAAATGTTATATAATTAATTATTATAATAATTGTATCTGTATCGAAATATAGCTATGATTAGATTAAAGTTAGTTGTTAAGTAATAAAATATAGAAAAGCTGTCTGGGAGATCGATAATCGGCCAATTTTCAATCGAATATCGATATAAATCTGTTTCGATTAAAGTTTGGTTTATATAAATACTAAATACATTTCAAGATGTCGATCTCTCGTTTGTAAAAAAAAATACGACATGCCACCCAAAAATCTTGCATTTATCTTAGCAAAACTATTATATCGTAAGTTTAAAGTTTTGTGAGAACGTGTTTCTCTAAGTGCAATTTTATTTTTATATAGTATTTTACGTTTATTTCCATTAATTTCCTCTGTGGTTGTGGTGTCCCTACTTACATGCGTTCTTTGAAGGGAGTTCATTATTATTTATTGTGAACAATGTTTTTATTAATAAGATTTCTACGCATGCGGTGGCGATGCGTTATCGCGTAACACCTGTTAATTTGTTTAATGGAATAAAATGTATGTTGAACGAGGTCTTGTTTCTTATTTTTAATCCCGGTTTGATATATTATCTATGTTCTACAATACGGCAGACAGTGGTGACTGATTTTATGTTGGTCTCGAAGCGCTGGTAGGGCAAAAAAAAGATAATTTTGATTTTAATGAATTGAAAAATTAATAAGACATTTTTGTCTATATTAGAAGTATTCAGTATTCACACAGACATAAATTAATGTTATAATAATTATTATTGTATTCTATTTTAAATTTGTGCCGGTCACCGGTTTAAGTCGGTCTTTTGTTATCAACAGTTACTTTATTAATATTTCTGAGGGTAGTCACGAAAAAAACGCCTTCTTTTCTTCCCCACATCAATCGATTTGTTCAGTTCGGCTTGAAAATTGGCCACTGAAGACATCTCCCGCGCCGCGCTTACTCGCATAGCTCGAATTTATTTATAGTTTCTATTGTTTCATACAGATTTTGGAGATGTCCCACGAGTGTATTGTATTGTGTGAGTGGTATAGTGCAGTGTAGTGTATAATTATAGTGCAGTGAATTAGTTGTGATACCGAAGTTGAGTATTGAACCGCCAGCCGCCTGGACGCCGGTGCCCGAAGAATCCCAGATCAGGGCCCTTCATCATATCGAAGATCTCGCCAGTTTCTCCACGTTTCATGTGAGTCATTTTTATCATCATCGTCATCATCATCATCATATTTCAGCCATAGTAGGACGTGGCAAAACTGGACGGTCGAGTGATTCTTCGAATTTATTGATACCTATCATCTTTGGTTTATGAAATATGAATCACGTCTCAGTGTCTACTGAAAATGAAAAATCTTTTTGTTTAGGCTCACACCTAAATCTCTGCTCATAACTTAGGCATTTTACCTCTGTATGGGATGGTTGTATCATGCCATAATGAGAGCTATCGTTTTTATACTTAACAGTTGGCTCCCCTGGCGATTGACAGGACCTTACTCTACAGTGGCGCCATCTTGATGAGTGCAAATGCTCACAAGTTGGCGCCACTGTCTTCGCTACTAGCAAGTGCCAGGACCTTACTCTACAGTGGCGCTAACTGGTGAGCGCTAAAACGATAGCCCTCAGTCTATAGGCTTGGACCATAGACAAATTCGTATGGATTTTGTTGAGCTTTGAAAGTTTATTTTAGGCGTTCAACTATGATCTATACTTAATAATTTTAACTAAGTGTTTTGCACATAAAATAAATAAATAAAACATCGTGTTCTGTTTTCGTGATAATGTTTAATTTTTCAAATAATGTTTTATACAGGTTTAACGATACGTCACTCATCACGATCGAAGTGTACTACGCAACTGCATGATAATGGCCAGAAAACATCCGCTGTCAACTATTTATAAAAAATGTAGATTTAACAATTTTAAATTACGCAACAGTAAAATAAACTTTGATAAAACAAGAAGAAAAACAACTTGTAACATAAAATAAATAGATGAAGAGGTACTCAGGTGGTATAAAAATAAATAAATTAGGTAGCATTGACTACGACAATAACTTAACTAAAATAAATAATATTAATACTAATGACAAGTTATTTTAAATTAAAGTCTAGCGGCTCATCTACACATTGATAAACCATAATAATATCGTGTATTTTCCGTTGCCCCTAGTTCAAACTTTCCAATATTTGAAAAGAGGTAACAGAAGATTGTACTTAACAGATATTTAATACTACATTTGTATTCACTTACTGCAATTCCGTTTAATAATTTAATTTAATATTGAAATAACATCATACTTTATCGTTCTCAAGTCTGACTTGAAAATATTATGAAATTCAAACATTTTTGAAAATAGGAAACAATCATGAAGCTTCTTCACTGGTAGACGTCAACATAATAATCTCAATAATTACAATATCGCTATAAGTGATACATTTACTTATTTGTTGCAAATTTGTTTGAGCACTGGGATAACACACAAATAAATACAATTGGCATGGTCCATATACTTCAGTCTCATCACACTAATATGTACAAATTGAGTTATTTAGACGACGTTACGAGTAGAACCGACTCTTTGAAATTACATGAGCGGTGGGCGGTGGGTGCGGCCGGGCTATCGTCGTGATAGCGGCTGTTTTCTTCTTCAGTGTCGTAATGGGACGCAGTTTCACGAAAAGCACTGCTGATAAAGCGCAGGAGCATAATAACGTGGCAAGAAGTGCACCAAGTGTGGCAGCAAATCCGGGAGTTGTCATGCACACTAAGCCCGGGGTTGGGATGATCTTGGGCGCTGCGTTTTCCTCAGCAGTATCCATATTTAAGTCGCCAGCAGACACAACACGAATGACTCTGTTTACTCCAACTTCCTTCTCTGGTGATGTGGCTCGTCGTTGCCTTCTCACTCTGCGCTCATCTCGCCTCGCTTCAGCTCCCACTGGGTAGGCATCTAGTTGAGGGGCTCCGTATTCTGCGTGAGGTGCAATCACATTGTGAGCTCCATCCGAACATTGCTCTGGGCAGCGGTATCTGCAAATCTGGATAGTACATTGGAAGTGGACTTCCATCGAATCCGGGAATTTGAAAGCTTGGAAGTGCGCGTACGAAAGCACGCTGGCGCTAGCTCCGAAGTTTTTGATCTTCGTAAATCTCGACATCAGTTTTGGTCTCGTTACACAGCCTCGCCTATCGACCAATTGTATAGGAGCGCGTTGACCGTCATGAGCTACACAGTCACGGACCAACATATCGAACTTCGCGTCGTCGTCTTTGATAGCTAGTACCATGGTCATCGTTTGCCCAATCTTTACCAATCCGGAAACTTCGGAAGCCCATGGACCCTTTCCTACTTGAATCTGCATCCAGCAACCGACATTGTCTCCAGCGAAGTCTGCTCGTACTACATCCAGCATATCCACAGGGAATGGTCTGAACGTGACTGCCTTTTCGTACTGGTCGTGCCACGTGCAACGCAGCTTGCGAGCCTGATCCCAAACTTCTTGTACTTGAGGGTCGTATTGTATGACGATAACGTTTTCGAAGTACGTTCCCGCAGCAGCGACGTCTCCTCTGTATCGGGGATCACCGCTTCCAGCCGTGCCACAAGCGTGAGCGCCTATTTCGAATGAAGCAGACGATCTGCCTAGGTTTGGAGGAAGGTGGACGCATTGGTGATTGGAGTAGTGTCCTTTTGAGAAAACGATTCCGAAGAATGGTTTGTCGAAGCTGAGGAAGACTCGCATGGCGTTCTTTTCACATTTTACATCGAGTGAAACGATCTTGGGCATGTCAGGTGCTGGAGCAGGCCACACGTCACCGGCGCCGCTGAACACTTTGTCACTGGCTGAGGTCTGGGCGTCGGCAGGAGGTGCGGGGGGAGGGGGCGGTCCGCGGAATCCAGGCCCGATGTCATTCTTGTGGTGGTTGCTCGGAGGTCCAAGAGCGAATGGCTTCGAATGAATGGGATGGTGATTCGGGATCCTCGGCATGCCTGTAAAAATAGAAAACAAAAAGTTTAAAACGTTTCTGATAAAATAACTTTTTGAACTTCATAAATTAGTATTTTGTCTGTCTCTCCCAAAAATTTATTGATAAATGATTACGTTAATTAGGATCATTAATTAAGCTATTGTAACTCCTACAACTGTCCTACTATAAATGACTTAGTGGTAGTAATAATAATAATAATAAAGCGAGAAAAAAGGTTTTCTAAATTATCAATGAGTTCCTTACCCAATGGGTGGTGTTGCTGATGATGCGGCGGGTTCTGCCTCCTATTATGCGGTGGCGGCGCCGGCGGCGGGGGTCCGTTGTACGCGTGGCTCGGGGTCTCTCTCTCCGCCGACTCCATGGCCAGCTGGTCTGATGATGGTTCCGCGGCGCTGTTGGCTTCAGACCCTGAGCCGCCTCCGCCGCCCCCGCTTTCGTTCGAAGACTGATCACTGAGAGCCCCGCTCTGGAAATGAGAGAAGAAAAATGTTTAATAGACGGTCACAAATAGATCGGTTTGATTGAGACTTTAGATTAAAGCTCTGAATAAGAATAGTGACTTCTTCTTCGCTAATGGATTTTTATAGATGGACAAGTTTTAGATCCTAGCTACCTACATAGGTGTTGCAGTGGTGGTCCAGTATAACTAGTAACAAACTATCATAGGCTACTTTGAATCCGTTACTAAGTACATCATATGTAGGGTTTCTGCTCGAGCTTTCTCGAACTCGAGAAAACTCGAGAAATTTGGCTTCAATCGAGACGAGAAAAAAATCACCGGAGCTCGAGAATTCTCGAGTTTCGATTTTGAAGCTTTGATATTCTTGAAAGCCTATTTTCTTAGACAAAAGTATATTTTTAATTATTTAATAGGCAAACGTTGCTTTTAGACTGGCCTAGTCTTTCCTTTTTTAACTGATTTGATTTGAAAGTAATGATTTAAATCGAAACTAAGTTATAATGTTCACCAACGAGTATTCTATATTTATTATTATGAATGTTTAACTCTGACTGATTTAAAGACGAAGATGCTTGGTGTTTCTTTGCTAGATCGAATCAGAAATGAGGAAATCCGTAAACCAACTAAAGTTGCTGACATAGCCCGACGGATTAGCAAGCTGAAGTGGCAATGGGCAGGGCACATAGTACACAGAACTGACGGCCGATGGGGCAGCAAGGTTCTGGAACGGAGGCCGCGTACCGGAAGGCGCAGCGTAGGACGTCCACCTACAAGGTGGAACGACGACATCGTAAAGGTAGCAGGGAAGCACTGGACGCAGGCTGCTACCAATCGATCAACGTGGAAAGCATTAGGGGAGGCCTATGTTCAGCAGTGGACGTCCTATGGCTGACATGATGATGATGATGATTTAAAGACTGAAAAATCTGTCTGTTAGTTTAGGTACTCGTGCCTCTTCGTAAAGTTTATTCAAGTCGTTATCTTTAAGTTTAAAAAAATATTAAAAGTTTTTTTTGTTTATAAAAAAAAACTAACATTTATCGTAATTTTGCTATTTGGACTTGTGTTCTTTGGAAAACAAGTGATTCAATTGATTTTTATTGTTATTTATCCTTAAAGTACACGCGACTTTATGACTTTTGTTATGATTATTAGTTAATATTAATTATGAAAGAAGATTTTATTTTTTGTTTCTTTCTTTACCAAAATAAGTGGTACTAAATTCTAATATTGATTGTTGTGCAATAAAAGTAGGTATATTACATTAAAAAAACCTGTGTTTTTATTATATTTCAACCGATTTCAACAGTTTTCATTAAAATACTCGAGACCCGAGAAAACTCGAGACTTTGGCCTCGAGAATTCTCGAAACTCGAGAAAAAAAATAAGTCGAGAAATCAGAAACCCTAATCATATGGCATGCCAAAGCGTACGAGTAAGTAATAGACGATCTAAAAGAGCTTGTGATGTGTCGCATTGGAAAGATATTCTGTCCAATTACGTACTAAAATGTATCATATCAGTCGTCACACATCTTTTACTTCATCCAAACTGTTTAATTATATGAATTCCTATCTATTTCCAAGTGGTCGGATTCCAATAACAGCCGACGTTACCAGTCCAATAAGTTCATTAATTCGAAACTGTTCCATCTTGTAGCAACATTTTATCGTATCTCATTTGAGTTACTCGGCTTTTATCGTTCCGTCAGCTTTCACTGCGCGTGGGTATTAAGAGTTATTTAATATGACACACTGGCCTTTTATAAGCGGACACCTGTATCAAAACTTATGTTACAACAATCAATGTAAATACTCGCACAACTAATTCTAGGTCGTGTGTGACCACGAGTTTTCTTGGATCACGTGAAAGTTGCCGCATTATACATATTCCTGTTTAGTCAAATCATCTCATTGCCGATCTCGTTTCCTAATTTTCATTGGACTGGTTTTTGGGGAAACTATTTTTGTTGTTAAAACGTGTTACGCGTGTGTTTTATAAGCAAAGTAACAACAAAACAAAGGTTTTGTGACTTCGCGTCAAGTTATTTTTTTTGTCTTTTGTGATTACATCGCAACTTTTGGTACTTCACTTTAACTGAATGAATACCTATTACGAGTATACATACATAGTACGAGTACATACCCTAACGATGCATAGAGATGGCCGGATGGCCGTTTAAATAGTGGCTCTCCAAGAAATGATCAAATTATTATAATTCGACATGTACGGGTGGCCTCATAATTTTCTATTGCGATCCTATCACCGTGGGTGTTGACACCTTTCTGTGAACCCCACATTAACGAATCGTCAAGGCTTTTATAACCTTCATTTGTTTCGCCTCGAGGTATGAAATTAGAAAGTATTGCCACATCAAATGCGTTAAGTCTTTTTTTATTTTCGATAAGATTTATGATGGCCCGTGGATACTCCTTCGTATCATCCAGCAATTATATTAGATTGGGACTCAAACCAAGACCGATTGTTACGTGGATTGTGTAACGAAATAAATAGGAGAAAGTTTAGGGATCTTGATGTTTATCTAAATGATAGAGCATCGACCAGTTTTGTCTGTCCGAGGACTGTTTAAGACGAATGGGAATAAAATACTTTGGTGCTACCCTACAATGTCATTTATGTGGGACCAAAGTTCTTGATCGAGACAACTTTTACATTGCACGGGTGGCCCGGGACATACTTAATTTTCGAATGTTGTTAAACACGTTTCAACATTGCATATTTTCGATTATAGTGGCGTATACAAAGATAAAATTTATCGTTTGTTTAATCCTTAGATTAAATCACTTGTTACATTTAAAAGCTTTCTGTTATAGTTTTTAACTATCGCAATACCTAATTGTTTACGTATTTTTATCAGGTTCTACGTATTCTTCTTTTCTTTCTTTTTTTTATGTGACAGGAGGCAAACGAGCAGACGTATCATCTGACGGTAAGTGATGTAGATTCTTATGTTGAAGAAAATACTTCAACACTGTGGTACTTAATGTTATGTACTGTTATAAAAACATGCTATACCATTTGGCTAACATAACTGTCATATCAAAATAATTGTGTTAATATAATTTGACTAGTATTCGACGTTACTTATCATTTCAACGGGTCTCGGATGCTTATGGCTGACATGCAATTTACCCGAGTATATCATTACACGAGTATACTCGCTCGATGACGGAGTTCATTCGAATGACCGTCATTCAATACTTTCTTTGACGACATTCCAGCAAAATTAGCTCGTTTCTCGTTTATAAGTGTTAGTTATGATATTACTACGGAGTTCTTTGTGAAACTCGATGGTGGCAGGGTTTGCAAGATTATTAATTAGACACAAAGTAGTTATCATTAGCTCGATAACTCTACCTACGTTTGTATATGTCAACGTGAAATTGTGAACTCTGTCAGTTTATAATATAACGCGTTAGATAGTAAACTAACAGTGGGTTAGGTTAGGTTAGATTGTAATTTAACTACGTCAGATTACAATCTGACGGAATTCACAATTTTACGGTGACATATACATGTAACAAACTGAAGATTATTACGATTAGACCCCTTTTTTAATTGTATTCAATAAGATAAAATATGGGACTATGACAGAACAAGAACTACTTTAATACAAAATGGTCTAAATAAGCAATCTAAACTTTTTCATGTTCATAAACATTTTTTCAAAACTCTACATAGGAAGCAGTTATTAAAAATTAACAATGTTTGCTTATTTCCCCGAAAATATGTTAATACATAATTGACTTTAAACGGTCATAAAAAGGTCAAGTATTAAATTAAAATGACTCTACATCGATGTATATCACTCGTAAGACTCCAAAAGTTAAGTATCAGACTAACTTATAAAGTTCAAATTATGACCTGAACAGCCCCATCAATTCCAAACATTATAAAAGATGCAAAGCCTCCGATAAGTTACTTAGAACCAGATTCATAATTCAAGCTAACAGGCCTTTTACATTGTCCCTTATGCCCAAGAAAATAAGGCTTAAACTGCTGTTGTCGATGAGAGTACCCTCTCAAGTGCAGTGTGTCAACGCGGCCGTTGCTCCACGAACTAATTTTACTTTCATTAAATGCCTGAAGATGTCGAGCGACTATAGGATTAGTGTACACTACAGGATGCGAGCTACTTACGATGTATTTGTAAAAATCGGATTATCTAATGGCATAGTCAGCAATTCTGAATACAAAGTTTACGAGTACGGAAAGTTTTCGAGGTTAGTGAAGTCAAGAAGTAAAAAATCTTGTGTGTGCTAATAGTAGAACAGCCAGGCTCTAAAGTATTGTGGCTAATCGATATTATAACTGCTGCTGTCATCTATGACTACTTTCGTACCTATGCTTTTTCAAAATAAATATTACGCTCTCTTGTAGCAGAGTTTTGGGCTAACACTGTATAAGTAGGTATGTTTGTCGACACGACAAGAAGAAGACGAAGAATATTAAGCTGAGCTGTGTAATCTCATGGTGTAGCATCTCATGTAGTGTGATTTTAGCTTTAGAGCCATGAACGCTTTCAGTTGCCTTATGGATTTATGGGACCGGCTTTTTGTGGCATTCTAGTTTGCCATGGATCTAAGGCATCATTATGAACGTAAACAACGTCCGAGTTTGAAGTACCTATCATTGGAACACCAACCTATTCCAACACTTAAAGATGATTCTACAGACATAAATACTTTAAGAAAACATAATTAAGCTGGTCGATTACCAACAATCAGGTGCTATTTTATGGTCAAAGGACTGACCTACTTTCAATTAGAATTAGCATTTTAAAGCATCTTTAAAGGAATCATTCCCAAAATCAAATTCATGCTAAACACACCCTGAAAAGTGTCAAAGCCCTTTAGCTGAGCTTACAATGTTAGCCTATAAACATACTGAAATACACGTGTTTTTCATTATACAAAAATACTCATTCCATATCAAACAAAATTGACTTCATATGTCCCATGAAATACAAACCTTATTTACACGAC